GCGGTGGGGGAGGGAAGGCCGAGCAGGCGGAGAGCGGAGACCGGCGGCGACGGCTGCTGCGGCGGCGACAACGGCTGGGCCGGAACTCTCAGACCAGCAGAGGCAGAACGACCGTCGCCAGAACACTCAACAGCAGCACCCCCAGAACCAACACCCCCAGAGCGAGAACCCCCTCCAACACCAGCAGCACCCCCAGAAGCCACAGGACGAACACCCTCCTCCACACCAGCACCCCCAGGGGCCAAGAGCGGCGGCGGCAGTGGCGGCGACGACTGCAGCGGCGACGGCTGCGGCGGCGGCGACAGCGGCGACGGCTGCGGCGGCGACAGCGACGGCGGCTGCAGCGGGGTCGGCGACTGCGATAGTGGGGGCGGAGGCACCGGGGAAGGGGGACGCAGCAAGGACAGACCGGGGGTACCACCAGAGTCAGCAGACTCCTCAACGGGGACAACCGACGGGAGGGGAGTGACGTGAGAGACACCAGACGGGGCAGGACGAGGCGGGAGAGGGGCAGGGGCTACCGGAGGAGAGGGAGCAAGGAACAGGGGGGGGACAACTGGGAGACCTCGGTGAGGGAAGCGGCGGTAAAAGGAGACGGACTCGTCAAAGGTAACGTCACGAGAGTGGAGGAAGCGGTGAGATGGCGGGTGATAGAAAAGCCAGTCAGACGAATCCAAGGGGAAACCGAGGAAGACACAGGGGACAGTGCGGGTAGTAAGCTTGTCTGTGCCAGAGGCACGAACGTGAGCAAGGCAGCCCCAGACGTGGAACGCAGACGCGTCACCGAGGGACTCGGTCCAAAGAAGGGTCGGCGAAACATGCGGCCGCTGAGAGCGTGGCCACAGGTTAAGCCGGTGAGCAGCGTAGCGAACAGCGAACGGCTACAGAAAATGGGGGGCATCGGCATGAATCATGGAGGTGCGGGCGACCTCCATGACCAAGCCGATGCGGCGCTCAGCAACTCCATTCTGCTGTGGCGAGTCCGGCAAGGTGTACGACTGGGTGATGCCCTCCGCACGACAGAACTGTCCAAGCCGACCAGAGGCGAACTCGCCGCCCCGGTCGGAGTGGAGACACAACACGGGGAGACCGCGGTGGAGACGCGCAACCACAACCCACGGGAGAAGAACGTCGGGCACGTCGGCCTTCCGCTCGAGGGGAAACACCGTGGTGTAGCGCGTGTAGTCGTCGACGAGCACAAGGAAGTAGCGCTCATCGCGCGGTCCGGGGACGGGGGCAGGGCCCCAAACGTCCAGGTGCAGGGTCTGAAGGGGGGCAGTAGCAGGGCGCAACGAGGAGGAGTGAGGGGCACGGCGGAGCCGGCTCTCGACGCAAGGCGTGCACGGTGGCGCAGTCGAGGGAGGAAGGGCGGGGAGCAACACAGGGAGACCTAAGACAAGGCCGTGCTGGGACATGTGACGCAGACGAGGGAGAGCAGGGTGACCTAAGCGGTGGTGCTAGAGAAGGGACGGGTGAGTGAGGGAACGACACGAGCAAGCTGCACCAACCTGGGAGGACGCACCAACCGGAGGGGAGGCGGTGTCTAGGGTAAACAGACCGGACACCGGGTCCCTGGAGAACGTCGCAAGGGGGGAACCTGAGACAGCCTCAGAATAGACAGCGAACCGCTCGTGCCCGGGGAACGTGGTGGTGACGCCGAGGTCCTGGAGACAGCCGACACCAACCAGGTTCCTCGAGAATGAGGGAACGTGGAGGCCTGTAAGGGAGCCCGAGGGAACGGCTGGACAGGGAAGGGACGTAGAACTGCGAGCGACGACAGGACCCGCAGAGGGGTCGGCGAGAGAGACGACAGCTGGCGTAGCAAGCGAGGTAAGTGCGGAACGGTCGCGGAAGAAGCAGGCAGAAGCACCGGAGTCGAGAGTGAAGGACAGCGCAGCAGTGGCAGGGGCGGGGAACGGAGCCGGTGCAGAGACGAGGCTAGACAAACTAGGCAGTCCTATGCCTGACGCAGCAGGGGAGGCTAGGCTACACAACGGTGCAACACCTAAACTAGAGAACACAGGATAATAAGATCCAGCAACACTAGCAGCGTCACAATACATGGCATGCAAAGCAGCACCTATCTGATCCATGTCTAACTCAAAGATCGGCACGCCCTGGCGGAGTAGGCTGTGCCAGTCGGGGAGGTCCGGGGCCGGGCCAAAGCTACGACGAAACAGATCGTCGAGGCGGCGGAAATCGTAGTGCCGCGGGCCAAAGCTACGATCACAGAGTGCCGCGAAGGGGCCCGGTCTGAAGCTGGTACTGACAGGTGACAGCACCGGAGCCGCTGGTAGACGCCAAGCTGCGCGGGCCGCCACCACTGCCACCACCCGCTGAGGAGCCGGGCCAAACAGGCTGGAGGCGAGCCCACTGCTGCGGGGGCTGTGGCTGGGACGGCGGCTGCGGCGCGGGCTGCTCCTGCTGCGGCTGGGGCTGCTGCTCCTGACCACCAATGCTAGTCCCCCCAGACGGACTACGCTCACGACCACCAGCACCACTACCTGCACCACCACCCTTACCACCCTGGCGACCATGGCCACTGCGGCGCGAGCGCTGCTGCGGGTGGACCGCAGCAGCCGTCTCGGTGAGAGGGGTCGCCGTGGCGACCGCAGCCGAAACGTCAGTGAACGTGCACTGGGAGGGGGCACAGCCGTGAAAGATAGAGACTGCCGGCGCACCGCTCGACTGAGCGATAGTGCGCTGGCGAGTCTCGATCTCGGTGAGGGTGTCGACAAAGGCAGTGAGAGTGAGGTCAGCCGGGTGCAGGCTAAGGAAGTGATCGCGAGCACTAGCGAGGCGGTTTGGCAGGCGCATGGCAATAATATAGAGCGTCATGCAGAAAGGGGGGGGGAGCGCAGTGAGCTGGGCAGCAGTGCTGGCAGTGCGATAGCGGGTCTCTAGAGCACGCAGGTGAGTGGCAAAGTCTGCGACGGTAGGGAAAGCTGCAAGGTCTGGGAAAAGCATAGGGAAGAGCAGGCGACCAGCAGAAGCAGACGCGGGTGTGGAATAGCGGGCAATAACATCGTCTAAGTAAGCTTTGGCCGTCTCAATAGTAGCAAAATGCGAGCGCTCAGAGACAGGAAGGGCATGGCTAATGGCTACCTGAGCGACTGCATCGCGGGAGTCCCAGACCGCACGGGCAAGCGCAGTAGTAGAGAAGGTCTCACGGTCATCAGAGGAGGGATCAGCAGGGAGGGGGGCAGGTACAGGGGGGCGGGGGAGCAAGCCGTCAACATGGACAACCAAAGAGTGGCCATCCTGACGCTGACCTGTGAGGTGGCGGCGGAGATCGGAGAGCCAGGCGGCGAAGTCAACCGCATGGCCCTCAGCGTCCAGTCGGAGCACGAAGTCCGCCATCGTGCAGGGTCGGCGGCACAGCTCCACAGGAACTCAGCTACAGCCCCCTCCAGCACAGTGGCCACGAAGCGCCTCAGCACGGGCGAGCAGAGGAGACGGAGCCCGAGGCGGCACAGCAGGACGAGCCGGGGCGAAAGGGGCAGGCAGGGACGGTGGGGCCAGGCAGGCACGGCAGGGCCAGGCAGGCCCGGCGGGCCAGGCAGGCGCGGCGGGCCAGCCAGGGGCGGCGGAGCCAGGAGGCGCGGCAGGGCCAGGCAGGCGCGGCGGGGCCAGGCAGTGCGGCGGGGCCAGGCTGGCGCGGCGGGGCCAGAAGACGCGGCGGGGCCAGGCAGGTGTGGCGGGGCCAGGCAGTGCGGCAGGGCCAGGCAGGCGCGGCGGGGCCAGAAGGCGCGGCGGGGCCAGAAGGCGCGGCAGGGCCAGGCAGGTGCGGCGGGCCAGTCAGGGGCGTCGGGGCCAGGCAGGCGTGGCGGGCCAGCCAGGCGCGGCGGGGCCAGAAGGCGTGGCGGGGCCAAGCAGGTGCGGCGGGGCCAGGCAGGTGCGGCAGGGCCTGGCAGGTGCGGCAGTGCCAGGCAGGCGCGACGGGGCCAGGAGACACGGCAGGGCCAGGCAGGCGCGACGGGGCCAGGCAGGCGCAGCGGGGCCAGGCAGCGCGGCGAGGGCCAGGCAGGCTCGACGGGGCCAGGCAGGCACAACGGGGCCAGGCAGGTGCGACGGGGTCGAGGAGGCACGAGGGGCCTAGGAGGGGCGTGACGGGCTAGAAGGCGCTGCAGGGGCCCAGGGGGGGGCGCGACGGGCGAGGAAGCGCTACAGGAGCCCAGGAGGGGCGCGACGGGGCCCAGGCAGCGCGATGGGGCCCAGTGGGACGCGACGGGGCCTAGGAGGCACGATGGGGCCCAGGGGGGCGCGACGGGGCCTAGGCAGCGCGATGGGGCCCCGGGGGGGTCGCGACGGGGCCTAGGAGGCACGATGGGGCTCAGGGGGGCGCGACGGGACCTACGGGACACGAAGGGGGCCCAGGAGGGGCGCGACGGGGCCTAGGCAGCGCGATGGGGCCCAGGGGGGCGCGACGGGGCCTAGGAGGCGCGATGGAGCCCAGGGGGGCGCGACAAGGCCTAGGAGGCACGATGGGGCCCAGGGGGGGGCGACGGGGCCTACGGGGCACGAAGGGGACCAGGAGGGGCGGGACGGGGCCTAGGCAGCGCGATGGGGCCCAGGGGGGGCGCGACGGGGCCTAGGCAGCGCGATGGGGCCCAGGGGGGCGCGACGGGGCCTAGGCAACGCGGTGGGGCCCAGGGGGGCGCGACTGGGCCTAGGAGGAACGGAGGGGGGTGGCGGGGCCTAGGAGGCACGGGCGGAAGCGGTAGGTGGAGGGGAACCAACCTACGGGTGATACCATCTCAAAGAAAAACTGAATAATTGGATAGAGGGAGAGAACAAGTGTATATACCTAAGAGTGTTGTACCCTCTAAGAGGTGACCCTATACAGTCTATACAAATACGAGTTATACATATATTTGACATAGTGCTGTTCCATAAGATGCAACGCCAGGTTCAGCCTGCCGAGATTCATGGGCATGTTTCAAAACCTCTGTTCAGGCGACATTGTTTCCGACACGCGGGAATCTGTACAGTAAATTTTCGGCGCGAGCAGTTTTTTATTGCGATTGAGCCGCGGAACGACGCAACACGAAATTCTGGCGTTTCCTGCTAGAAATGGAGATTCTAGTGGCAGGGGGGTGTTCAAAAGTTTTCACGTCCGAGAGTAGGGTGTTGTGTATATCCAGAAAAATTGAACACCCATACCCGCTCAAGCTACCCGGGGGAGCTTAATTCCGGCGGGTGTTATATACGGGGGATTACGGTAGGTGGCTACACGGATACTGTACGCCTACCATTTATCCCCCACAGGCCCCATGACCGGCTTCTTGGCCCCACTGTTGGCCTCCCAGCGTTTTGAATCACAGGCAGGCAGCAGCAGTGTGTGTGAGTGAGGGAGTGAGACACGGCGAGCGTGAAGCTGTCACAAGTTGCCGTGTGGCCGTGACTCACTGCCAGCGCGTCCGAAGACTCGATGGGAAAAGTCCTGCCACACGGGGTGAGAGTAAAGCAAGACACATGAAGTGCCATCTCACATGGTCAATGTGTGGACAGCAACACTGAGCCGTGCGATGCCTCTGCCAGCATGACATGGGGAAGCGGCAACTTGTCATCGCTGAGGCATAGCGAATCATGGGAAAAAATGCATGAATGCCAAGGCCACACGATTCCATGAAATGTGACATTTCACACCAACTCACCTCATTTCCAGGGCTTCTTGCATCCTCCTCGTCCCCCTCTCCCTCCCACTCGTCCTCATCCCACTCCTCATCCCACACATCGTCCACCCACTCCTCCCCATCCCCCTCCCACTGCCCTGCACTCTCCTCGGACCTTGATGTTCTCAGCACCCCACCATCTCTCCACTCGCCCTCCCCCTCATCCCCATCCCCATGCGTCCACCTTTCCTCCCTCCCCCCCACCCCTCCTCCCCGCCCCCCCACGTCCTCCACCCCAAGCAGCCCAGCCCTCGCCCCACCGCCATCCGCACTCACTCGCTCCACCCTCTCCCCCACTACCACTGCTCCCCCATCCTCACCCCACGCCTCCCCTCCCACCACTGTTCCCCCCCTCTCCTCCCACGCCTCCCCTCTCCCCATTCCTCCCCTCCTCTCCTCCTCCCACACCTCCTCTCGCCCCCGGCCCCACATCCCTCCCCCCTCTCTCCTGGCGTCCGCCACAGCGCGACCTGAGAGCACGTCGCCCCACCAGAACCACCGGTGCACCGACGGCTGGGGAATGGGGGGATGGGGGCATGGGGAGGGGTGGGGAAGGGGGGAGTTGCACAAGGGAAGAGTAGGGGCAGCAGTTGGCAAGGGGAAAGGCACTGGATGCGCACTGAACTGTGCACGGACTGATACTGTTCACATGGGCACGGACTGATACTGTTCACATGGGCACGGACTGATACTGTTCACATGGGCACGGACTGATACTGTTCACATGGGCAGGTGGGCCTTCACGCGAATGAGGCCTTCCAAAACAAAAAAAGCAGTGGCAACACCCGCACGCGCTCAACCCATCCCTTCACCCAGGGCTCAGTGAGCTGCCCTACCTGCCGGCCCCACGCACCTCCAGCGACCCGTTGATGCCCACAGCCACGGTGGTGAGCCCGGCAGCAGCGGCGGCCCCCAGCGCACGGCTGTACCCGCGGTCGTCCGACACCAGCAGCACGGCGCCCACCTGCCCGCTGCGCACCGCCATCGCCAGGTCGCGCTTCAGAGCCTCGTCCGCTGCCTTGGGGGGGGGAGAGGGAGAGGGAGAGGGAGAGGGAGAGGGAGAGGGAGAGGGAACACAGGCGCGAGAAAGAGGGCGGGAGGTGGGGAGATGAGGCTGCGAACCTATCGCAGATTTCCTCCTCGCACTCGCACTCGCACTGCCACTGCTGCCATCCTCGCACCTGCCACACGCCACACCTGCCTTACCCCTCATTGCGTACCTCTCATTGCGTACCTCTCATTGCGTATCCCTCATTGCGTACCTCTCATTGCGTACCTCTCATTGCGTATCCCTCATTGCGTACCTCTCATTGCGTACCTCTCATTGCGTACCTCTCATTGCGTACCTCTCATTGCGTACCCCTCATTGCGTACCTCTCATTGCGTACCTCTCATTGCGTACCCCTCATTGCGTACCTCTCATTGCGTACCTCTCATTGCGTACCTCTCATTGCGTACCTCTCATTGCGTACCTCTCATTGCGTACCTCTCATTGCGTACCTCTCATTGCGTACCCCTCATTGCGTACCTCTCATTGCGTACCCTCATTGCGTACCCCTCATTGCGTACCTCTCATTGCGTACCCCTCATTGCGTACCTCTCATTGCGTACCTCTCATTGCGTACCCCTCATTGCGTACCTCTCATTGCGTACCTCTCATTGCGTACCTCTCATTGCGTACCTCTCATTGCGTACCTCTCATTGCGTATCCCTCATTGCGTACCTCTCATTGCGTACCTCTCATTGCGTACCTCTCATTGCGTACCTCTCATTGCGTATCCCTCATTGCGTACCTCTCATTGCGTACCTCTCATTGCGTACCTCTCATTGCGTACCTCTCATTGCGTATCCCCTCTCATTGCGTACCCCTCATTGCGTACCTCTCATTGCGTACCCCTCCATTGCGTACCTCTCATTGCGTACCCTCTCATTGCGTACCCTCTCCCCTCATTGCGTACCTCTCATTGCGTACCTCTCATTGCGTACCCCTCATTGCGTACCCCTTACCATTGCGTACCCTCATCTCCTCATTGCGTACCTCTCATTGCGTACCCCTCATTGGCGTACCCCTCATTGCGTACCTCTCATTGCGTACCCCTCATTGCGTACCTCTCATTGCGTACCTCTCATTGCGTACCTCTCATTGCGTACCCTCATTGCGTACCCTCATTGCGTACCTCTCATTGCGTACCTCTCATTGCGTACCTCTCATTGCGTACCTCTCATTGCGTACCCCTCATTGCGTACCTCTCATTGCGTACCTCTCATTGCGTACCCCTCATTGCGTACCCTCATTGCGTACCCTCATTGCGTACCTCTCATTGCGTACCCTCATTGCGTACCCTCATTGCGTACCCCTCATTGCGTACCTCTCATTGCGTACCTCTCATTGCGTACCTCTCATTGCGTACCTCTCATTGCGTACCCCTTCTCCATTGCGTACCCCTCATTGCGTACCCTCATTGCGTACCTCTCATTGCGTACCTCTCATTGCGTACCCCTCATTGCGTACCTCTCATTGCGTACCTCTCATTGCGTACCTCTCATTGCGTACCCCTCATTGCGTACCCCTCATTGCGTACCTCTCATTGCGTACCTCTCATTGCGTACCTCTCATTGCGTACCCTCTCATTGCGTACCCCTCATTGCGTACCTCTCAATTGCGTACCTCTCATTGCGTACCTCTCATTGCGTACCCTCATTGCGTACCTCTCATTGCGTACCTCTCATTGCGTACCCCTCATTGCGTTACCTCTCATTGCGTACCTCTCATTGCGTACCTCTCATGGTACCCTCATTGCGTACCTCTCATTGCGTACCCCTCATTGCGTACCTCTCATTGCGTACCCTCATTGCGTACCTCTCATTGCGTACCTCTCATTGCGTACCCCTCATTGCGTACCCTCTCATTGCGTACCCTCATTGGCGTACCCTCATTGCGGTACCTCTCATTGGCGATCCGTACTCTCATTGCGTACCTCCTCATTGCGTACCCTCATTGCGTACCCCTCATTGCGTACCTCTCATTGCGTACCCTCTCATTGGCGTACCCCTCATTGCGTACCCCTCCATTGCGTACCCTCATTGCGTACCCCTCCATTGCGTACCCCTCATTGCGTACCCTCATTGCGTACCCCTCATTGCGACTCTCATGCGTACCTCTCATTGCGTACCTCTCATTTGCGTACCTCTCATTGGCGTACCCTCATTGCGTACCCTCATTGCGTACCTCCATTGCGTACCCTCTCATTGCGTACCCCTCATTGCGTACCTCTCATTGCGTACCCTCTCATTGCGTACCTCTCATTGCGTACCCCTCATTGCGTACCTCTCATTGCGTACCCTCATTGCGTACCTCTCATTGCGTACCTCTCATTGCGTACCTCTCCATTGCGTACCTCTCATTGCGTACCTCTCATTGCGTACCTCTCATTGCGTACCCTTATTGCGTACCCTCATTGCGTACCCCTCATTGGTACCTACTACCTCATTGCGTACCTCTCATTGCGTACCCCTCATTGCGTACCCCTCATTGCGTACCCTCATTGCGTACCCTCATTGCGTACCCCTCATTGCGTACCCTCATTGCGTACCCTCATTGCGTACCCTCATTGCGTACCCCTCATTGCGTACCCCATTGCGTACCCTCTCATTGCGTACCCCTCATTGCGTACCCTCATTGCGTACCCTCATTGCGTACCTCTCATTGCGTCCTCTCATTGCGTACCCTCATTCGTACCCCTCTTGCGTACCTCTCATTGCGTACCTCTCATTGCGTACCCTCATGGTACCCTATTGCGTACCCCTCATTGCGTACCCCTCATTGCGTACCTCTCATTGCGTACCCTCATTGCGTACCCCTCATTGCGTACCCCTCATTGCGTACCCCTCATTGCGTACCCTCGCATTGCGTACCTCTCATTGACCTCTCATGCGTACCCCTCAATTGCGTACCTCCTCATTGCCGTACCCCTCATTGCGTACCTCTCATTGCGTACCCCTCATTGCGTACCTCTCATTGCGTACCTCTCATTGCGTACCTCTCATTGCGTATCCCTCATTGCGTACCCCTTATTGCGTACCTCTCATTGCGTACCTCTCATTGCGTACCCCTCATTGCGTACCTCTCATTGCGTACCTCTCATTGCGTACCTCTCATTGCGTACCCCTCATTGCGTACCCCTCATTGCGTACCCCTCATTGCGTACCTCTCATTGCGTACCTCTCATTGCGTACCCCTCATTGCGTACCCCTCATTGCGTACCTCTCATTGCGTACCTCTCATTGCGTACCTCTCATTGCGTACCCCTCATTGCGTACCGCTCATTGCGTACCTCTCATTGCGTACCTCTCATTGCGTACCCCTCATTGCGTACCTCTCATTGCGTACCTCTCATTGCGTACCTCTCATTGCGTACCTCTCATTGCGTACCTCTCATTGCGTACCCCTCATTGCGTACCGCTCATTGCGTACCTCTCATTGCGTACCTCTCATTGCGTACCCCTCATTGCGTACCTCTCATTGCGTACCTCTCATTGCGTACCTCTCATTGCGTACCCCTCATTGCGTACCTCTCATTGCGTACCTCTCATTGCGTACCTCTCATTGCGTACCCTCATTGCGTACCTCTCATTGCGTACCCCTCATTGCGTACCTCTCATTGCGTACCTCTCATTGCGTACCCCTCATTGCGTACCTCTCATTGCGTACATCTCATTGCGTACCTCTCATTGCGTACCCCTCATTGCGTACCTCTCATTGCGTACCTCTCATTGCGTACCTCTCATTGCGTACCTCTCATTGCGTACCTCTCATTGCGTACCCCTCATTGCGTACCCCTCATTGCGTACCCCTCATTGCGTACCTCTCATTGCGTACCTCTCATTGCGTACCTCTCATTGCGTACCCCTCATTGCGTACCCCTCATTGCGTACCCCTCATTGCGTACCTCTCATTGCGTACCCCTCATTGCGTACCTCTCATTGCGTACCTCTCATTGCGTACCTCTCATTGCGTATCCCTCATTGCGTACCTCTCATTGCGTACCTCTCATTGCGTACCTCTCATTGCGTACCCCTCATTGCGTACCTCTCATTGCGTACCTCTCATTGCGTACCTCTCATTGCGTACCTCATTGCGTACCTCATTGCGTACCCCTCATTGCGTACCCCTCATTGCGTACCCCTCATTGCGTACCTCTCATTGCGTATCCCTCATTGCGTACCTCTCATTGCGTACCTCTCATTGCGTACCTCTCATTGCGTACCTCTCATTGCGTATCCCTCATTGCGTATCCCTCATTGCGTACCCCTCATTGCGTACCCCTCATTGCGTACCCCTCATTGCGTACCCCTCATTGCGTACCTCTCATTGCGTACCCCTCATTGCGTACCCCTCATTGCGTACCCCTCATTGCGTACCCCTCATTGCGTACCTCTCATTGCGTACCTCTCATTGCGTACCTCTCATTGCGTACCTCTCATTGCGTATCCCTCATTGCGTATCCCTCATTGCGTACCCCTCATTGCGTACCTCTCATTGCGTACCTCTCATTGCGTACCTCTCATTGCGTACCCCTCATTGCGTACCTCTCATTGCGTACCCCTCATTGCGTACCCCTCATTGCGTACCCCTCATTGCGTACCCCTCATTGCGTACCTCTCATTGCGTACCTCTCATTGCGTACCTCTCATTGCGTACCTCTCATTGCGTATCCCTCATTGCGTATCCCTCATTGCGTACCCCTCATTGCGTACCCTCATTGCGTACCTCTCATTGCGTACCTCTCATTGCGTATCCATTGCGTACCTCTCATTGCGTACCCTCATTGCGTACCCCTCATTGCGTACCCCTCATTGCGTACCTCTCATTGCGTACCCTCATTGCGTACCCTCATTGCGTACCTCTCATTGCGTACCCCTCATTGCGTACCCTCATTGCGTACCCTCATTGCGTACCTCTCATTGCGTACCTCTCATTGCGTACCTCTCATTGCGTACCTCATTGCGTACCTCTCATTGCGTACCTCTCATTGCGTACCTCTCATTGCGTACCTCTCATTGCGTACCCTCATTGCGTACCCTCATTGCGTACCCCTCATTGCGTACCCCTCATTGCGTACCTCTCATTGCGTACCTCTCATTGCGTACCCTCATTGCGTACCTCTCATTGCGTACCTCTCATTGCGTACCCTCATTGCGTACCTCTCATTGCGTACCTCTCATTGCGTACCTCATTGCGTACCTCTCATTGCGTACCCTCATTGCGTACCTCTCATTGCGTACCTCTCATTGCGTACCCTCATTGCGTACCTCTCATTGCGTACCCCTCATTTACCT